TGGAAGTCACTATTTCAAGTGACTTTAAAAATACAGTGTTGTGATTGCCATCTCTGATGTGTATGTGTCATGAATGTAAAGATAATAGAAAGAAATTGTAAACTTCATTCAGAAAAATCAGTGTTGTTACTCTGCACATCTCATCTTTGTATGGTAAAATGATGCTCAACAGCAGTCACGCCATTGAAACCAAGCACTTTTCTATAAGAGAGAAGAGACTTGGGAATAAAGTAGATATATAGAATATTCATCTTAAAATTGGGGGTGAACTAGCTGTAGGAACTTGTGATTTATTTTTCCTCTGTTGCAAATGTGTATTTCCTGGGTCTTTGCCTTGTAAAGTGAAGCATTCCCTCCTCTTCAGCAGTGAGCATCTCTATCTAGTGCCTGGAGGACCGCTTCTAAATAGTCTAATAGCACATGCAGTGGGCTTTGGGGAACTTATGGATTCTAGGACTGGATAGGAAATAGACATGATGAATCTAAGACATCTTCTTGTCAGAAAGCAAGAAAGCTATGTGAGGACTTTGGAGTCATACCCAAAGTTGAGAAGAGACAATTTGAAGGGACTCAGTGGCCAAAGGTCACACAGTATGGACATCGGAAAGATGAGGATTAATGAGGAACCATGGCAGGTTTTGCCTTCTATGTAGGAATTCGTTATGGAGCAAACAAAAAGTCGATTAGGAAATTCCTCATACTAGAATCCTGTGAAACATGTAGAAGGAATAATGGCAAATTGGCACTTAGTAGCCTCTAATGAAGTAGTGACTCTGGGAGAGGGTCATCTGCAGATGCTGAAACCATTAGCACAAGATTGAAGCATCCTCTGCACAACCTAGGATCACAAAAAGTGGCCCAATCAGAAGTTATATGCCTCCTGATTCAATAGGAAGCTAAAACAATTGAGCTGAATCTGATTAAGCCTCCAGATCTAACTTCCAATTTCAAGGAAGTAGGAAGAGTGAAGGACTGCCATGAGGAAATGGTCACATCCAGTGTGTGGAGCCTTGTGCAGGTTGACAGCTTCATTTCTTCAGCAGACAGAGGTCATGGGAAGGTGGAGAGAGAAAGCAAAGTGGGAAGGGGCATGCATTCTTAGCCTAGAAGGGACCCAAGAGACATAACTAGCTGTAAATGGTACTTTTTTTTTTTTTGACAATCAGAGAATTACAAATAAATACTACTTGTTGCTCTTAGGGAGCCACTGCCAATCTTGTTAGGGATACATTTGATCTTGTGCTAATGTTGAAAGAAAGTCCTTATCTGCTGAGGTACTCAGGAGTGAATTGATCAGATAGTCGGTTGGTAATGGAATCGGTGAAGCAAGACGAACAAACTGATCGACAAAATGTTGACAGCTGTGAAATACTCCGTAGCTTTATATACACTTTCAAGTTTCCATACTGAAAAAGATTCAAAATTTGTCCTGAAGCAAAAGAAATATATATATAGCCCCTTTCAATCAATCAGTGATTAAAAATCACTGTTCTTCCTTTGCATTCATGTAGGCAAGTGAAAATTCTGGCAACTTTTTATTTGACTATTTTTAATTAAGTAGACCAACTTACAAAAGGGCACTACTTTAGGGTAGATTAGCACGAGCTCTTTGTGAGTTGGTTTCAGTTATAAAATATATACTTTCATACTGGTTTTGATGAAGTACAACTTTGGTTAAGTGGCACAAAATACCTCCAGTGACTTTTTGTTTGTTTTTCCAATTAATTTTACTCAGTGCCAAGGGTAATTTCATAAGATAGGCCTTCATCCATGATGATTTGTAGCATTATTTATCTCTGGGAGTTCCTGATTACCTCTTTATAATCTCTCTTTCTCCCTTTTGTCTTGTCTTTCCCTTTTCCCAGAAGCAACCACTTTCTTCAGTTTTCTGTTTATACTTCCTTTGTGTACATATGTATTTGGTTCAAAGCCATGCATAGTTTTGCATGATTTTGACCTTTGGGCAATACAAATCATCATGGATGAATCTTACAGAATGCTGAGTGAAACTGAAAAGCTACAGAGGCCACATAATGTTGAAAATCTTTGGCTAGGGCAGTGACATTAATCTGTACTTATAAATATGCTATCATGTGCCCTGGATAAAGGCAACACTGCATAAAAACAGGCAGGAATGGATGGGGAGGGCGGTCAGAGTTGCTGTACTATTAAGTAGTACCTAATGGTTGATGACAGTCTCGTCGAGGAATCAGCAAATGCAGGCAAGGCCATTAAGATGTTTCCTCTTAATTCTTGTCTCTCTCTGTTCCTGGGGGAGGGCAGGCTTGTCCCTTGCTTCAAGTCCATTCTCTCTCCCCAAAGACTAATATTTTATAGTGCTCAGGTCTATGCTGGGCACATTCTTCCCTGCTCACTGTGTTGAGAAGTAACTGGCTGCCCTTGTTAAGTTTCATTCTGCTTTACTTTTCCTCCTAGATTTTAGAAAATGACACAATTGTATGTTTGTGTATTTGTAGGTATCTTCTCTCACTAAGGTGTAAGGTGCTCCAGGGCTGCTTCTGTCTAGCATCCCAACCATCTCACCTTCATGTCCTCACTTCTAGGTGCTTAGTGTCTATTGACAAGAGGAGTGGATTGACTTGAGACTAGTTGAATGGAGCCCAGATTTCTCTTTTCAGCTGTATCCCCAAGCATCCCTCAGGCTGTGAACTGTTTTTAGAACTTGAGGTAATTGCCCATTTATCCTAGACACTCAGAATGTGTGAAGTTTCATATTATCTTCCTTCCTGTGTCTTCCACTTTTTAAATACTGCCCGGGCTCACAGTTGCCTGACCATGGTGTTATCTTTTAGTGTTTCCTAGCCCTAATTCCTGGGTACTGAAACTTCCTATTCATTTTTTTCTCTCTTTGAGATAGGGTCTTACTATGTAGCCCAGGCTGGCTTTGCCTCTGCCTCTAACTCTTGAGTACTGGGTTCAAAGGCATGTGCTACTGTGCCCAGCCCCTTTATGTCTTTGGCATGTCTTTGGTCATAGATTCACCTTTGTGTTTTAAGCATAGAATGTTTTAGCCAGCACCATGTTCTGCTGGAGCATGCTTTCTGAATATCAAGCCAACTCTTCCACCATAGTACTTGTCCTAGTTAGGGTTTCTATTGCTGTGAAGGGACACCATGACCACGGCAACTCTTTTTTTGCTTGTTTGTTTGTTTTTTGTTTTTTTGAGACAGGGTTTCTCTGTATTGCTTTGGAGTCTGTCCTGGCACTCACTCTGTAGACAAGGCTGGCCTTGAACTCACAAAGATCCACCTGCGTCTGCCTCCCGAGTGCTGAGATTAAAGGTGTGTGCCACCAGCGCTAGACTTCCATGAGAAGTCTTATAAAGGAAAACATTTAATTGGGGTGGCTTACAGTTTCAGAGAGGTTCAGACCATCACCATCATGGTGGGGAGCATGGTGGCATGCAGGCAGACATGGTGCTGGAGAAGGAGCTGCTACATGTGCATATGTAGGCAACAGGAAGTAGACTGACTCACTGGGCTGGCTTGAGCATATGTGAGACCTCAAAGCTCACCTCCACAGTGACATAGTTCCTCCAAAAAGTCCATACCTACTCCAACAAGGCCACGCCTCCCATTAGTACAACTTCCTTTGGGGGGCATTTTCTTTCAAACCACCTTTTGTACTTTGAATTTAATTTTTTTGCATATGTGGGTGTGCATATATGTATGAGTTCATGTCACAGTGAGAGCACATGCACTTAGAGACCAGTAGACAATCTCTGATCTCTGTTGTCACTTAAGCACTGCCTACCTTTTTTGTTGTTATTTGTTTTCTTCTCTTCTTGAATGGGCATTTGCAGTGGAAGGGGTCGACTAGGCTGAGTGAGAGGCACTCAGGACATTCTGTTAATGCAATTTGTTTGTTTGGAAAAACAAAACAAAACAAAAGCTGGGTGGTGGTGGAGCACACCTTTAACCCTAGCACTTGGGAGGCAGAGGCAGGCTGATCTCTTATGTTAGAAGCCAGCCTGGTCTACAGAGCAAGTTCTAGGACAGCTAGGACTACACAGAGAAACCCTATCTTGAAAAAAAATGAAACAACCAATACCAAAACCAAAAAAGTCCCACAAAAACAAACAAATCCACCTTTCCGCTACACCCCCCACCCCAAATAAACCCAAAGAACAAAACAAAGCAATTTGTTTGATATTTGAGACAGGGTCTCATTATGTAGCCTTAGCTGACCTTGAACTCACTATCTCTACCATGTTGGCCTTCTACTTCTGCCTTCCAAGATGCATGCCATCACACTGAGCATAATGCAACACTTTAAGAAATAAAAATGCAAAAAGGCCTTGATATACAAGACATAAAATGTTTCATTTATCTGTTTTTTTCTGGAACTTTAATAATTTACCCCCACCAATTTTATGGAAGTATAGTTCACAAATAAATATAATTTATATTTAATATATACAGCAATATTTTAGGTAAGGCATACTTACCTAAAAACTGAGTTATGATTCCCATAATTAACGTAATCATCACATAACATAGTGAGGTGGTTTTTTTTTTTTTTTTTTTTTTTTTTTTTTTGGTTTTTTGAGATAGGGTTTCTCTGTGGCTTTGGAGCCTATCCTGGAACTCACTTTGTAGACCAGGCTGGCCTTGAACTCACAAAGATCCACCTGCTTCTGCCTCTGAGTACTGGTATTAAAGGTGTGTGCCACCAGTGCCTGGCTTTAAGATGACTTTCCTATCTGCTTTGACATTTCTTTGTAGTGCTGTAACTAATGATCTGTTTGTGGATTTAGAAGTGTATATGGCTTGTCTCTGTTAAGGCAGAGTGGATTCAGTCTCTAAGGAGTGGGCATGGGAGAATGGATCCTCTTTCTGTTTCTCAGACACCATGTAGAAATGGGTAACACTTGATGTTTTAATAGAGTGAGTTGCAGGTTGACAGTGATACAAAGAGCTAAAATGTAATATTTAACTTGATGCTGTTTTGCTTTCTAAACATTAAGAATTTTTTTTTAGGTGTATAGTGTTGATTGGAGCCAAACCAGAGGTGAACAACTTGTGGTATCTGGCTCATGGGATCAAACTGTCAAAGTGGTATGTCAGCATTACTGCATTTAAAACAAATAGTTCCCTTCCAACCTTCCATTGAAATATTTTATTTTCTAAAATATTCTGTAGCTTTAAATGTGATTAATTAATTTTCTTTTCAAGTATATATCAAAATGTTTATCAAAATTAAAAAAATATTTAGTCTTGGCTACAACCTAATAATTAGCTTACAAGTGACTATTTTAGTCCCTTAAAGATCATTTTATTTTATGGAAAAATAAATCTTAAAAACCTTGGAAATACATGTATTTTATATGTATATATGAATGTGTATGTTATTTATGTCATACTTACACATACAGTGCTATAGAGTATATATTAAAGTGTGCATTTATATTTACCTTTGTTGAGTAATTGATTTGCTCATTTATTTTCAGTGGGATCCAACTGTTGGAAATTCTCTGTGTACCTTTAGAGGGCACGAAAGTGTCATTTACAGCACAATCTGGTCTCCCCACATCCCTGGTTGTTTTGCTTCAGCCTCAGGTAAGTAATTCTGGATTTCCCAGAAGCCTTATGGGTGAACTACTTTTTTACCATTAGGTGGCACTGTGTACTCTAGATTCAGAGAAAATGAAGCGCATGTGTGTTTTTTAGGATATTTGATATTTTTTTTTTTTTTTTCAATGCTGGAGGTTGAACCCAGAGTTTGGACATGCTGAGCATATACTGAAGCCCTTAGGACCTTCCCTCCTTCTTCTTTTCTTACTTCCTTCCTACCTTCCTTCCTTCCTTCCTTCTTCCTTTTTTTTTTTTGTCTGTCAGCCTCTTGGCAAAAATTGGTCAAGAGCTGAGTCCCAGATTGTGTTTCAATGAATATAACCCTTTTATAATAAATGTTAGTGTTTTTGGTATGGACATATATGTGGTTTATAATGTCATAACAGATTTAAAAATACATTTGAAAGAGGAGGTTTGCTTTTGTTTTTGTTTTGATTCAGAATATATTGAGCCTATGAAACACAAGTGGGCTTTTCAACAAGTAGGTTGAGTTTGGAGCTGAGATACTTGGTTTGGTGAATAAATTGTATCCTTGGCTCACAGTTGGTTAACTAAAGCCATTTCAATTAATCAGAGCACCCAGGGAAGATAGAAGAGAGACAGGTGGATGCGCTACAGCCCTCAGAGCCAAATGACTTGCAGGCAGGTTTTATAAATAAAGTTTTATTGGAATGTAGCCACATCAGTTCATTTACATATCATCTGTAGCTGCTTTCTTACAGTCCTAGCAAATAAAGTAGTTGTTACAAAGACCTGAGAGGTCTCAAAGCCAAATTATTTACTTCTGACCTTTTTATAGGAAATAATGTATTGATCCCTGGAACCCTGGAGAGAGAGAGAGAATTAGAAGCTCTTCTGCACAGTGAGTTGTTTAGAGGAGAGATGGCAGTAGCTGGAGAAGGAGGCAATGAGCTTCTCGAATTGTCTCTGTATTTAATAATCCAGGCAAAGACAGGCAGCAACCAGGAAGAGCTAGTGTTTCTTTCTTGCCAGTAAATTGTATCAATGTCCTGAGATGCTGTATTATGAAGCAGCTTTTATAGAAGTAAAAGTCACAGAGATCCTTTGTTAGTGTCTTATATTTTAATTCTAAAATTAAACAATTCTTGAATTGTTGATTGAAGATAATTTTGTCCATTTAGATTATGTAATTTTTGAGATTTCTAATAGTAAGTAATGGTAATATCTTTCTGTCTGTCTGGTTTTTCAAGACAGGGTTTCTTTGTGTATCCCTGGCTGTCCTGGAACTCTATTTGAGATCAGACTGCCCAAGAAGTCATAGATCATCTGTAATGATAACTCCTTCTGCCAGCCGTCTGAGTTCTGATGCCACATTAGGGCCCCCAAATAACACACAGAGATTAATATTAGTTACAATGCTGCTGGCCAATGACTAGGATTTCTTATTATCAACCATAACCATTAATCTATATATTTTATAAAGACTTACCCGAGGACACCAGCGGCATCCTGGGATCACATGGTGACTCTCCTCTTTACTACATTTTCCAGAATCCTCCTTGACTCCTAGCCCTACCCATCCTGCTTCCCTATTGGCCAACAGTGTTTTATTTATCAACCAATAAGACAAACATATACACAGAAGGACTTCCCCCATCAATCACCTTCCTCTGCCTCCTGAGTGCTGGGGTTAAAGGTGTTCACCATCACACCTGGATGAAATGGTAATATCTATGTAAGAAAGTGTCATTAGTTTAAGAAATGCTTTGTTCCTTGATAACAATTACCAGTATTCTGTTTTGAAATGAAGAGCAGTACACTCTGTCAGCCTATAGAATGAGTACGATTATCTCTAACATTTCTGAGCTTAAATCCTAGCTTTCTTGAAAGTCTATGATTGGAATGAAATCTTTTCCAAAATATAAAGTCTTTTGGAATGAATCTTGTTATACATTTTTTCTAGTTCCATTTTTTTTCCTTTTTGAAGATCTAGTGTAATCTCACTTCTCTTTGGGCCACCAGCTCACAAATAATTAATTTCATATTAATTATGAAAGCTCAGCTTTAGCTTAGGCTTGCCCCATTAGTTCTTATAACTTAAAGTAACCCATATTTTCATTTATCTACATTCTACCATGTGGCTTTTGCCTCTCTGCCATTTTGTGTGTCTGACTGGTTCTGCTTCTTGATGGTGTCTCCTACCTCTTTTCTCACTGTCCCACCTATACCTCCTGCCTAGCTATTGGCTGGTCATAGCAATATGTCTTCATAAGTGTACAAATATCCCACAACATTTACCCCAGTTTCAGAGCTGTTCCCATAGTAGAAGGATCAGTATATATATTACCTGCCCTGTAGAGTTTTTTGTTTGGTTGGTTGACTTGGTTTCTTTTCTCATTTCTGCAGCCAAGATTTTCAGGAGGTCTCCCCCAATCAAATCTGATCTTCACTAATTTTGAAGGGAGCCATAACTTTTTGTTTTCTATGGAAACAAAGGCAAAACTTCTCCAATACAACATATTTTCTGACTTCCACTTTGAAGTTAAGACATTCTTAAAATATATAGGTTGGTTTAATTTAGCAATTTCCATAATCCAATGTTTCTCATCAGCTATTGTTTTTTGTACATTAGAATTTTAAAAATTCAAAGCTAGCAAAGCACCGTACAGGATCTAGACATCTGTGTGTTTTTCATCTTTACATGGCTTATTTTTTATATTACTTTATTTTTTCTTTAAAGACTTTATTATTTTGAATTATTTTTCTATGGCTGTCTATACCCATTTTTTTTCTTTCCTTAGCATATAAGTACGTCTTTAAACATATTTACCTTTTTAGATGTTTTCTGTGTCTGGGCCTGGCTTTACTAAGTACCTGCAGTGTTCTCTGACTGTGTTCGACAAGTCCTAAACTGCCATGTCAGCAGCTATGTGACTCAGTTTAGCACATGGCACAGTCTCATGATGCTGGGCACTGACTTCAGTCCACAGGCAGCAGCCAGTAGTCACATCTCTGTATGCCAAAAACTGGCCTGCCTGAGAGACTGCAGGACTAGGAAGACATGTCTAGCTCCTTGTCCAGAACTTTTCTTAGGTTTCTTAAGCCCTATATTTGAACATTTAAGCCTTCACATTGGCTGCCAGTTGTAACTGGATTTTTCTTTGGGCCACCAGCCAAATCCCAAATAATGATACAAAGACTTCTTCTTAATTATGAATTCTTAGCCATTAACTTAGATTTATTCCACTAGCTCTTAAAATGTAAATTAACCTTTTTATATTCATGTACATTCTATCATGTATTATTACCGCTCTTCCATCTTGTACCTCCTGTTTCCTCCCTGTGTCTTCTGGCACCTCTGCCTGTCTCCCCCCTCCCTGCCTGGAAGTCCCACCTATACCTCCTGCCTAGCTATTGGCCATTCAGCTCCTTATTAAACCAATCACAGCAGTGTATCTTCACACAGTGTACAAATATCCCACACTAATCTAAAGATTGACCAGGGCATCACACTTACCAGGTAAGCAATCTGCTGTTAAGCTAGATCCCCAGCTTTTATTTATTTATTTTTTTATACAGGGTTTCATGTAAGCCCAGCTGGCCCCTGAACTCGTGCTCTTCCTTGTGATGGTCAGGTTTTGGGTGGTGCTGAGAATCAAACCCAGGGTTTCTTGTATGCAGACAAGCACTATTTCAATGGAGTGAACACACTCAGCTCTCCAGCTTTCTCTTTTAGAGCTGAGTGTGGGTTTTCATCTTTCTGTGGGTACAACTGCTCATGACACTTGGCTTATTTTCTAAGTAAATGGTAGCAATTGTAGTGCACTTAATTTGAAGTTAAAATATAAAGGCGTTTATATAGCATGATTTCATCATATTTAATGCTTTTTAATTTAATGTAAATGTTTTAGGTTTTATGCCTGCTGTAAAACAAATCTGTAAGCTGACCACAGTTCCTCCTAATGGTTAGAATTTTACCATTATGTATTTTTACCATTGCTAAAAAGTCCTAACACAGAGGGAATTAAAACTTTTAAGGATATATGTTGGGTTGAAATTGGCATAGTTACCTCTAAGAAGGGCCACCCTTGGCCTTATATTCTCTGGTTTCAGAGGGGTCATTTCAAACCTTGAATGAATTAGTGATACAGACTACACCTACCTCAAAATGAACTGAAGGGTACCTCCCTCGCATTGAAGCCGGGAGTTCTATTTGTAATGTTTAAAATATAAATTAAATTTAACCATCATAATTTTATATATGAAAAATATTAAGTAAAAATTCTGAATCACTGGTAAGTTTTTTTAAATTCCTTTTACCCTACTACTATATGTAAATTTGTTTATTGTTATGGTTTAAAGTTTTAAAACTGCCTTCATTTTCCCCCTTTCTGTGTGTGTGCGCACATGTATGCATGTGCCACATTTAAAACCACTCTACCACTGAGTTATACCTTCAGCCCATTCTTTTAAATTTCTCCTTTTTGTGGTGTTGGGATTGAACTGATACAGGTGCATTTATTTAAACATTTGTGTCACAGTTATGTGGATTAGCCCTTTATTTGAGCAGAATCACCTTTACCTCTTTCTGTTTCATTGACCTTTGCATAGTCTGGTAGATGTAATACTGACTGTGGATATCATGGGTAGAATACTCAGTGGTCAGTGTTTGACACCGAATAGAAAGAAAAAAAGTCTAATCACAACTACCCATACCTTGTAAGTGAATAGTATATAAAAAGCATTTTTAATTAACAGACTGACCATTTGGCTCTCTATATAATTATGATATCTTCATCTGTTATGTTAGAGATAGAAGTAGTGGTCATATAGCCCAAGTTTCCTTTGGTTAATTTTTTTTAAAGGGCCTAAGCAGCAGGTGGCAGTGGTGCATACCTTTAGTCCCACTCAGGAGGCAGAGGCAGGCAGATCTCTGAGTTGGAGACTAATGTGGTCTACACAGTGAGTTTCAGAACAGCCAGGAATACACAGAGAAACCCTGCCTTGAAAGACAAAATAAATAA